TCTGAACATTTTTTTGGGTGCTGTATTTTGGGATACTGCACCATCAGAGGAAGTATTGCATTGATATTGCTAGATGATGGTAGATGTCCAGGTTTCAGCTGACCTGCCAAGAGGAAGGAGAAGCTCATACTGTTAAGCTGTGGAAGTTTACTCTTGCCCCTCTTGGCCTCTTCTGACGTCACTCTTGCTGGGAAGTTGAAGGATGCCACATTATTGCTGCCCAAGTGGCCTCCACTAATTGTTGAATGGGGGCCTCATTACTATATGGTGAGAAGGAAAGTCTTGGAACTCTATTTGACCTTCTCTGACACTACCTCAATCAAGGGCTTGAGGCTCCTCATTAGAAGTGTGATGGATATATTTTTTAATGAGTTTTTTTCTTTAAGATTTTATTTATTTATTCATGAGACACACACACACACAGAGAGAGAGAGAGGCAGAGAGAGAAGCGGGCTCCTCGCAGGGAGCCCAATGTGGGACTCGGATCCCAGATTCCAGGATCACGCCCTGAGCTGAAGGCAGATGCTCAACCGCTGAGCCATCCAGGTGTCCCTGTGATGGATATTTAAGCCTCATGTGGCCTATGTTAGTGAGAATGCATGTGGGGTTACAATTTTTTCTCATGACATTTGGCTGGAGTAGGACAGTTATTCTCTAAAAGATTCCTGTCTAGGCTAATCATTTCTTGGTCCTCTGGTTAGAGACAACAAACTTGTCTTGAGGCCTTTTGGGGACATTTTTTTCCTTTTTTTTTTTTTTTTTTTGGTCTGTGTCTATTTCATTTTAAGGTTATAGGCTTCTCCACACACAATGGGGGTAAAAGAAAATGCAGAGAAATCACTGCTATATTGTTCCTTAGGTCCCAATATCCTTAGCTGATTTGTGTTCTTTGTTGCACCTTTCTGAACTATCTTAGTTTTGTATATAAAATTGGTGTTTTAACTTGAAGTGAGCAAGAGCAATAGGGCTAAGAGTGTTTATCTTTTCTAGAAACAGAAGTCCTTAATGATATTTTAATTTTTAAAAAAGATTTTATTTATTTGACAGAAAAACACAAGTGGGGGGAGTGGAAGGCAGTGAGAGAAGCAGAAGCAGGCTCTCTGCTGAGCAGGCAGGCTGAAGCGGGGCTCAATCCCAGGACCCTGAGATCATGACCTGGGCTGATGGCAGACACTTAAGACTGAGCCATCCAAGAGCCCCCTTAATGCTATTTTTTAAAAGAAATGAACATTACTGCTTCTTTCAGCAAGAGAGATCAAGTCAAAACTACTTTCGGAAGCTTTCACTCCTTCTCCACCTTTATTTTTCCCAGGATATTTTTCTATCAGAAGCAGGCACTCTGGTCTTTGCTACTAAAACTTTTCCAGGATTGAGCTCCTGTAGTTTCCTTGTCTCTCATTTCTTGGGATAGGTTTTCCTCATTGTTAATCATCTCTGGTATAGGAGCAAAGTTTACCACTGAGTTCAGTTGTAGACAAGACTTTTTAAATGTACTTTTCTTTTTTTAAAAGATTTTTAATAAAAATTTAAATATTTAAGAATATTTATTTATTCATGAGAGACACACAGAGAGAGGCAGAGACATAGGCAGAGGGAGAAGCAGACTCCCTGTGAGGAGCCTAATGTGAGACTTCATCCCAGGACCACCAGGATCACAACCTGAGCCAAAGGCAGACGCTTAGCCTCTGAGTCACCCAGGTGCCCTTTAATGTATCTTTCTTAAGATGGAGGTGTCCCCTGGTCAGAATGGCTAAAATTAACAACACATGAAAAAACAGGTCTTTGTGAGGATGCAGACAAAAAGGATACCTCTTGCACTATTGGTGGGAATCAAACTGGTGTAACCACTCTGGAAAACAATATAGAGGTTCCTCAAAAAGTTAAAAATAGGGGCACCTGGGTTCCAGCAAATTCTTGGTTTCAGCTCAGGTCATGGTCTCAGGGCCCTGGGATGGAGCCCCACATTAGGCTCTATGCTCAGTGGGGAGTCAGCTTGAGGATTCTCTCTCTGCCCCTCTTCCCACTCACACTCTTTCTAAAATAAAATAAATCTTAAAAAAAAAAAATAGAACTACCATGACCCAGCATTGCACTACTAGGTATTTATCCAAAGGATAAATATGTTAACTAAATTGCCTTTTTAAAAAAATATTTTATTTATGTATTCATTAGCCTAGATGGGAATCTTTTAGAGAATAAAGAGACACACAGAAAGAGAGGAGGCAGAGATATAGGCAGAGGGCAACAGGGCTCCTCACAGGGATCACGCCCTGAGCCGAAGGGAGACGCTCAGCTGCTGAGCCACCCAGGCGTCCCAACTAAATTAAAATTAAACAAAGAATTAAAAAAAAAAAAAAGAATCCTCAATACTGAGAAGGTGTTTTGAAACAGAAATGAAGGAAGACATTCCATACCATTTACACAGGGGGTTTTATTCAGGGTAGCTTGCTGACAGGTGGGTTGAATAGGCAACGATCCTGGCACTAAGCAGCTAATCTCCACAAAGTCAAGACCATAACCCACAGATTAATAGAGTAAAGGGCGATTATCTAAAGTGGTGCCATCTGTGCACCAGAGGAACGATCAGAAGGCTTCCCATATTCTGGTCAGGGCATACATTAATCTATACAAGACCTGGAACACAGAGCCCAGGGGGAGGTCATTGCAGAGACTTAAACAAGATGTGGGCCAAAGATAGAGTCAGTATTGTCAGCACTCCTATAGGAGATTTCTGAGAAAACCAGCATGAATCGAAGAAACTTTCTGAGAGGAAACAGAAAAGGATTGTCATTAAAAATAGTTCCACTTGCTAGTTATAGAGCTCTGAAGCTACTAGTTAAATTGGCAGGTAGCAAGATTCATTGCCAAGAATCCTTTTAAAATAGAATCTACTCAGAGTTAGCTGTAATCTTTTATTGAATTTTTATTCTATGTAATATTTATATAATTAAAGTCATCTAATAGATGATATACTTTGTCAAATATTGTGTCATAAATTCTCTAGCAATTTTAGAATATTTTTCTCAAAACCAATTTAATAGGAGGTAAAATTTTTAACACTTGTGTAATAAAACAATGTAAAATAACAAAGTTATAAACTATATAATAAAAATTATTGAATATGATAAATATAAAGGGAATTACAGTATATTAATGTTGTCTAGATTATTCCAAAAATACTTGATACTGAATGTAGAATCTGTTCTTTTTTTTTTTTTAATTTTTTTTTAATTTTTATTTATTTATGATAGTCACAGAGAGATAGAGAGAGGCAGAGACAGAGGCAGAGGGAGAAGCAGGCTCCATGCACCGGGAGCCCGACGTGGGATTCGATCCCGGGTCTCCAGGATCGCGCCCTGGGCCAAAGGCAAGCGCCAAACCACTGCGCCACCCAGGGATCCCTAGAATCTGTTCTTGACCTACAAAATTACTATATAACTTAGTTCCACAGTGAAAAGTGATTACACAGTCTAGATCAACACAGTAGCATGAGCAAAATCATGAAGCAGAAATGAAGCTACCTTGTATGAGGACAGAGAATGGAGCTGAGGAGGCTATCCAATTCCAATGATATTGAAGTTGTATAGAAAATAGTGGAGCCAGAGCAGGTTATCCTTGACAGCCAATTGTTTCTGAAGTGAAAAATTCTCGTTGCTAAGCAACTAAATCTAGAACTTAGCTGGGAAATAAAAGGAAGAGAGCTTCTGTTTCCCTTTGTTATGTGAGGTCAACTACCAATCTTTGTTCATTGAAAAGTATGGTACAAACCATCACAAAAGAAAAGGCCATGGAAACAATAGCTTCTTCTGTTGGTAAGTCATCTGTTAAGTTTGGCTCTCTGCATGAGTTGGTGGCCAGAGCAGTACCTTGGATAATGTGAATTTTCGTAATTTTTGTTTTGTTTTCCTTTTTGAGCATGGCCAGGGGGGGTGGTAAGGTGCTTCAGGTAAAGTGACCAATTATTCCAGTTTGCCTCAGAGTGAGGGAATTGCTGGGATGTGGGGCTTTGAGTTTTAAGACTGGGACAACCCTGGGTAAATTAGAATGAGTTGGTTACTCTTACTGCCAGTAAGGAACAGATGAAATAGAGCTGAAAGAAGGGACATTAAAAGAATCAGTGTGCATGTAGGTAAGAGATGTGATATGAACAGAAGATGAGAGGCTACTACCTGAATCTATAGAGAAGGATCACTTTTTTTTTTTTTCTGAGACTGGAATATGGAGTGGAATAGAAGAGATGTAGAAATGGCGTTGGGTTCAGATAAGTTTGTAATGTTGAAAATCCTACAAAGCATTTGTCTTTAGATTTGGCATCACTATAGATATATATTTTTTATTGGATTGAAGAGTAAGAAATCCACTTTATACTGTGATCCAGTGGCCACACATACGCAAACACCCCCAAAACTTTACATATGAATTGCTATGGAACTTCTAGGAATGTCCTCTGATGTTTTTATTCCATTTCTTTAAAGAAAAAACTGCAGGTCAGGATCCATTAAATTGATTTCGTGACTCTCTAATGAGTCAGACACTGGTGACAGATGGGAAAACTGCATATTGCATGATGGGGTAAGAGGAGAGAGGCACAGGTAGAGGTCTTTAGGAATTTGAAATGGCTGTAGGGAAAGAAAGAGTTGATAAAACATATAGGCTGTTGTTTATTTTGATATTCCAATAATGTTAAAGAATTTGGACTTTTTAAATATTTTATTTATTTATTTATGAGAGACACACACACAGAGAGAGAGGCAGAAACATAGGCAGAGAGAGAAGCAGATTCCATGCAGGGAGCAAATGTGGGACTCGATCCCCAGACCCTGGGATCACGCCCTGGGCCAAAGGCAGGTGCCCAACCGCTGAGCCACCCAGGTGTCCCAAAGAATAGGGATTTTTAATGACACTACCACACAATATTAATGCAGGGTGATGTTCTTGTAGGAGTTTGGGTCTCTGAAGTCCCTGGAATAATAAAATGAAGACAATGAGTATGGCTCAAAGATTCTAGCAGAATTTTCCTATTGTTGTCTGCTCTCAAGATGAAACATGGTTTATAGAGCTTAGCAGCAACACTCTATTTCTATTGGCTCTTCTCACTTTCCATCCTCCCATTCACAACAATTCCCACTCCATAATAAATAACAAACACACATGAAAGCTATAGAGAGCAAATCTGGAAATTAGGATCTCACCCAATTCAGAAATCTTTGTCCTTGGAAGTTTTCATATGATTCAATTTGTCTATGAACTTTGCTGTTCCCTTGTGGGATACTTGCATCTTGGAATAAAGTGCCTATTACTCAGGTGGATCTAAGTTCTCTAGGCAGCTTTGATAGTCAAAGAGGCAAGTATCAATAGTTATGCAGGGGCAAAAGGTATAAACCAACATGGTCTTGGACAAATTGAGATATAGAGTCCCCCTACTCTGAAGTCTCTAACTTTTTATAGTGGAGATTTTTTCATACCACCTATATGGATTGAGATAATTGTATAATGAAAACCCCCATATCTATCGTCCAACTTTCACAATTATAAACATATGGCCAATATTTTATCTATATCCTTCTAAATTCCCACCTCCATTTATTGAAAGTCCAAAGCATTTTATTAATTCACTAATCACTTTTTTGCTGTTTGATTTTTTCCCATTTTCCTTACCCGATCCCATCATACCCCCATCCTTTTATTTTCACTTTCAGCTCTGCAGCTTTGATGCCCAACTCTGCCCAAACACAGATCCTTAAAGGTCAACTCTACACAATGACCAATGCGGAAGAAGCAGACCAGCAGTGCCTCACGGTTTTTCCCTGGACCGATGGCTCTGTAATGGCAGCTCCATAATGGTGGCTGGTGAGGCTGAGGTGCCCATGAGAGTTCTCTTGCTGTTCTGGGTTGGAATGTCTCTATTCCCTTCTGGCTTCTCTCAGGCTGGGCCCTCCCAATACCTCAGATCTCCAGAAGTGGTGACCCCTTTAAAGGTGACTGATAGGGGCAGAAGTGCAAAATCTCCAGGCTGGCTCTCCTACAGCCTGAAGTTTAGAGGCCAGAGACACATTGTCCACATGAGGGTCAAGAAACTCTTGGTTTCCAAACGCTTCCCGGTGTTCACCTACACGGACCAGCACACCCTCCTCCAGGATCAGCCTTTTGTTCCTGATGACTGCTACTATCATGGTTATGTGGAAGGAATCTCTGAGTCCCTGGTTGCCCTCAGTACCTGTTCTGGAGGTTTTCGAGGAATGCTACAGATTAATGACCTTGCTTATGAAATTGAGCCCATCAGGCACTCTACCAAATTTGAACACTTGGTTTATGAGATAAAAACTAATGAGACACAGTTCCCAACTATGAGATGTGGCTTAACAAAGAAGGAGATAGCACTCCAACAGGTGAAATTTGAAGAGGTTAAGAAGTCAACTCTGAAACAAAATTCTAATGATAAATTATGGACCCACTCATGGTTTCTGGAGCTGGTTGTGGTGGTAGATCACAATTTCTTAATTTATTCTCAAAGCAACTTTTCAATGGTGCAGGAGGATGTATTTCTTGTTGTCAACATAGTGGATTCCATTTATCAGCAGTTGGGTACTTATGTGATTTTGATTGGGATTGAGATTTGGAATCAAGGAAATGTTTTCCCAATGATAAGCATAGAACAGGTTCTGGAGGACTTCTCTAAGTGGAAGCAAATCAGTCTTTCCCAGCTACAGTATGATGCTGCACATTTTTTCATAAAAAACTCACTTATAAGTGTACTTGGTATAGCCTATGTTGCAGGAATATGTCGTCCTCCTATTGATTGTGGGGTTAATAATTTCCAAGGAGACTCTTGGTCTCTTTTTGCCCTCACTGTGGCCCATGAGTTAGGACATACTTTGGGTATGTGGCATGATGAAGAATTCTGTTTGTGTGAGCAAAGTGGTTGCATCATGAATGCTATGAGAGTACCAGCAGAGAAATTCACCAATTGTAGTTATATAGATTTTACAAAAACCACTTTAAACCAGGGATCATGTCTACACAATATTCCACATCCAGGGGAAGTCTTTACGTTGAAGCACTGTGGGAATGGCGTGGTTGAAGGAGAAGAGGAATGTGACTGTGGATCTATAAAGCAATGTGAACAAGATCCTTGTTGTCTATTGAACTGCACTCTGAGGCCTAGGGCTGCTTGTGCTTTTGGGCTTTGTTGCAAAGACTGCAAGTTCATGCCATCAGGGGAACTCTGTAGACATCAGGTCAATAAATGTGACCTTCCAGAGTGGTGCAATGGGACATCCCATCAGTGCCCAGAAGATGTATATGTGCAGGATGGGATTCCCTGTGGTGACGATGCCTACTGCTATGAAGGGAGATGTAATAACCATGACAAACAGTGCAGGGAGATTTTTGGTGAAGGAGCAAAGAGTGCATATCAGAGTTGCTATCAAGAAATCAACTCCCTGGGAAACCGTTTCGGCCACTGTGGTATAAGTGGCACGACATACCTAAAATGTAATATCTCAGATATCTTTTGTGGAAGAGTTCAGTGTGACAATGTGACAGATATTCCCCATCTGAGAGATCATTCTACTCTGCAGCAAACTCACATCAATGGTGTCACCTGCTGGAGTATTGATTATCATTTGGGAATGGACACACCTGATGTTGGTGAAGTAAAAGATGGCACCATGTGTGGTCCAGGAAAGATCTGCATACGCAAGAAATGTGTCAGTTTGTCTCTCTTGTCACAAGTCTGCCTGGCTGAGACCTGCAACATGAGGGGCATCTGCAATAATAAACATCACTGCCACTGTGGCTATGGGTGGTCCCCACCCTACTGCCTACACAGAGGTTATGGAGGTAGTGTTGAGAGTGGCCCAGCATCTGCCAAAAAAGGTTTTTTGCTACTAGTTGTGAGTCTTATTTTATCTGTTTTGCTTTTATTGTCAACTGCTGTATTTATGTACCATAGAAAAACATTTCGGTCTCAAGGAGACTAAGGCTCAGTCTTCAGGTTAGGAAACTGCCTCCATTTTAATATCCTGTGCAGTATTAAGTTTTACTCTCTTGGCAGTGAAAATGTTACTACATGCCTGGAACTGAGCACATTTCTGACAATATACAGAAAAATGCAGGGACCTTCCCTTTTGTCAGTATCAGAAACATCAGAAACATTGCCATTAAGCAAAAGTAATTCCTAACGTCTTCCTGTCAGTAGACAGTTCATTGTTTTAAGCAGCAAATAAAGCTCCATTTCCCCTAAATTGGTTGTGTGTGTATGTATGTGCGCGCATGCACTCACAAATATGACTCATGGGAAAGGCAGGAGACAAGTATCTGAGGATCCAGACTTTACTTCCAAAGTAACCTTTCAAAGGTGCAGAGAATGTATTTCTTGTTGTCAACATAGTGGATTCCATTTATCAGCAGTTGGGTACTTATGTGATTTTGACTGGGACTTAGATTTGGAATCATGGAAATATTTTCCCAATGATAGGCACAGGATAAACAGGCTGCCAAACTCATGCCATCAGGGGAACTCTGTAGGCATCAGGTCAATAATGTGACCTTCCAGAATAGTGCAATGGGACATCCCATCAGTGCAGGATGTGCAGGATGTGATTCCCTGTAGCAACAGTTCCCACTGCTGTCAAAAGGGATATAAAAAGGAGAAGAAATTACTCAAATGTTTCTAACATTCTGCTCCAAAATCTGAAAAGGAAAATAATAGTAATAATGTTTATCCCATCCAACCTCTTGGGTTTATTTGATAATCAAAAGAGAGAAAGAAATGTTTAATAAAAACTCCTGACCCTGTTTCTTTTGTGCTTCCTACCCAGTCTTGTCTGCTCTCTTGGCTTTAATTTGGCAGTTTGGGTATGCTTGTGAAGTATTTTCTTTGAATATCAGAATGTGATCTCTATGAGGTCAAGGTGGTTTTTATCTGTTCTGCTGTTGTATTCCAATACACAGAACAATGTCTAATACAGAGTAAATATTTGGATGAGGTAATTAATTTGAATGGATTAATCACATTAATTAGGAAAAGTAAAAATGATACTTTGGTTCTCTTTTTAAAACTATTGTAGTTCTTGCTCAAAATTCAACTTTGATATTTAAAATATGTGCATTTATAATGCTCCCTTTGGTACCTGCCCAGTTTTTGTGCCCAATTTGTTTTCTCAGTGTTTTTGGAAATCCTGTCTCTTAAAAACACATGTCTAATCAGACACCTTCTGTATATGGTCCAGATAACTTCTGAATGCTGCTCTTCGTAAATTGAGTCAAACAACATTTCTGATATCATTTCCATTATGCTTTGCATGAGTTGCACCCACTGGCTATTTTCTATTTTGAATATACGTGGCTCTGCCATGACTGCACATCTATACGTGCAATTCTCATTCCCAAAATGCTGTTTACCACCCTCCCCCACTCCCTTGCCCTGGGAAACTCCTGTTTTTCTCTTAACAGAGGTCAAACATCTTATCTTCGGAAAAGCATTTCCTTGTGAAATATTAGGTGTTCTACTTGTGTGCTCCTGTCACTTTGTGGTCATTTCTTTAATGCACTCCAGGAATAGATGGGGAGAGAATCTAATAATGTATCAGGCAGGGACAAAAAGAGGAAAGGCTATCTTTTTTTGTGTGTGTGTGTGTTCAATTTGCCAACATATAGCATAGTGCTCATCCCTTCAAGTGCCCCCCTCAGTGCTCGTCACCCGGTCATCCCCACCCCCCGCCCACCTCCCTTTCCACCACCCCTAGTTTGTTTCCCAGAGTTAGGAGTCTCTCATGTTCTGTCTCCCTTTCCGATATTTCTCACTCATTTTTTCTCCTTTCCCCTTTATCCCCTTTCACTATTTTTTATATTCCCCAAATGTATGAGACCATATAATGTTTGTCCTTCTCCAATTGACTTATTTCACTCAGCATAATACCCTCCAGTTCCATCTACATCGAAGCAAATGGTGGGTATTTGTCGTTTCTAATGGCTGAGTAATATTCCATTGTATACATAAACCACATCTTCTTTATCCATTCATAGGAAAAAGCTATCTAGTGGAGCCAAAGAAATGGAACGATGAACCAAAAAGACAATCTGTCTAAACCTGATTTTAGAAAATAAGTCACACTATCATAAATTAAACAAAAAAAAAGAAAATAAGTCACAGGTTTTAAACATATAGATGTCCAAATAGAGACAAAAGGCAGCTGCTCTAATTAATTGGTTCTCTTTTAAAATTGTTTTTGTAAAAACAATGTTACATTTTATTATAGTCCAATTTATCAATCTAAAATTCCATTTACTAGGTTTTATATTTTTGCTTGAGATTACTCTGAGAGAATCCTTTTTATTTCCTCTGATTATGTTGACTTCAGTTTTAATGTTTAAATCTAAAATTTATTTTGTTGTAAGGAATGAAATAGGAATCCAACCATATGGTTTTTTTTTTTTGCAATTGGTTAGTCAATTGTTCCAATTTATTTTATTTTTATTTATTTTTTTATTCATGAGAGACACAGAGACAGAGGCAGAGACACAGACAGAAGGAGTAGCAGGCTCCTCACAGAGAGCCCAATATGGGATTCAATCCCTGCACCTGGAATCACGCGTTTAGCTGAAGGCAGACGCTCAACCACTAAGCCACCCAGGCGTCTCCCAATTTATTTTATTGAATAAGTGACTGTTCACTGTTTACTGGTAAATTAATCTGTGTTATATTTTAAAATTAATTTGACAATCACATTATTTTACTCATACATTTTTATAAGAAGTCACACCTTTTGCAATATTTCTATCTTAAGGAAAAGCTACACTGCCATTTTAGGTTAGTTGAATTCACTAGGGCTGGATCAGTCAAGATTAGTGTGTAGAACTTAGCCTCCTTATAACAAAGATACAGTGTCTTACCTACTATCTTAATTTGGGTCCTCCAAAAAGCAGACAGTGAGACCAGGATTTAGGTGGAGTTAGTTTATTTGGGAAGCACAACAAGGAGTATGTTAATGAGCAAGTTTCCATTCTGGGGTCATCCCCTGTGAATTCTCTAAGAAGTCATTTGAAACATGTTTTGGAATATTCCTCCATGGTGCAAGAGAAAGCATTCAGGAAGAGAAGTGAGATAAAGCTGCTTTACTTTATTTCATTTGTGTGTTCACTAGAGCAACACTTTTAATTTTCTTTAAGAACTTTTCCTTTGCAGTTACAACTTGATTGTTCCGCACAATAGGTCTAGCTTTTGGTCTATCTCAGCTTTCAACACCACGCCTCACCATTTCCAGCATTTGATTTAAAATGAGAGACATGCAACTCTCCTTTCACTTGAACACTTAGAGACCACTGTAGGGTTATTAATTAGCCTACTTTCAATATTGTTTGTGTCTTAGGGAATAGAGAGGCCTGAGGATAGGAAAAAAGATAGGGGTGTGACTGGTCAGTGGAGCGGTCAGAAAACACAAAACATCATTAGTTAAGTTCCCCATCTTAAATGGTCATGACACCTCAAAACAATTACAACTTTAACATCAAAGATTACTGATCACAGATCATCATAACAAATGTAATAATGAGAAAGTTTAAAATACTACAAGAACTACCAAAATGTGACACAGAAACAGGAAGTGACCAAATGCTGTTAGAAAAATAGTGCCAAAAGGCTGGCTCAGTTCAGGGTTGCCATAAACCAATTTGTTAAAAAAAAAAAAAAATGTTATCTGTAAAGTGCAATAAAGCAAAACAAACAAAGAAAATGAACTATGCCTGTATACATCCAAAATCTTGCTTCAAAGGTATAATTCTTCTTTTCACATTACAGTATGAAAATAATTTGATCATCTTGACACTCCTCAGGACCTCACACTGGTCTAGCATATTCATGGAAGCATGCTAACTAAAGCTAGAGAATGGGAAATTCTAAGTATTATGAATGCATGTCAGAGTATGGGAGAAAAGCTCCATAATATTTAGAGGCATGCCATACTCGGGATATTTTTAGGGGTCTGGGAGTACACTAAGACATTCCCTTTGAACTAAAGGACAAATTAAAAAAACTCAAATCTCCTACCACTAATAAAGAAGCAAAGTGCCTGATGGGTAAGTCACTCTGGCCCTGCCCTTTCTCCTTTTCTGCTTCCTTATCTTTTTCTCTCACCTTCTTTTCCTTTTTTCTCTTAGATTTTCAGTATTCCTTTGAAAATAAATTTGTGAAATCACCTATACAAATTTCTAGGTCTTTAAAAATTTATTGAAATGTTCCTGAATATTTCAAATATATATAAAAGTTGAAAGAGAATAATTATGAACTCCTATACTCCCACCAGCAACATTCAGCACACAACGTGGGACTCGATCCTGGGTCTCCAGGATCACGCCCTGGGCTGAAGGCAGCACTAAACCACTGAGTCACCCTGGCTGCCCGCCAAGCATTTTTTTTTAATTTTTAATTTTTTACTTATTTATGATAGTCACACACACACAGAGAGAGAGAGAGAGAGGCAGAGACATAGGCAGAGGGAGAAGCAGGCTCCATGCACTGGGAGCCCGATGTGGGACTCGATCCCGGGTCCCCAGGATCACGCCTTGGGCCAAAGGCAGGCGCCAAACCGCTGCGCCACCCAGGGATCCCCCCGCCAAGCATTTAAAGAATAATTAATACCTATTTTTCTGAAGCTGTTTCAAAAAAATAGACATGGAAGGAAAACTTCCAAATAGAATAAGGCCAGCATTACCTTGATCCCAAAATCAGACAAAGACCCCACCAAAAACAAGAATTATAGACCAATATCCCTGATGAACATGGATGTCAAAATACTCCCCAAAATACCAGCCAATAGGATCCAACAGTACATCGAAAGGGTAAGTCACCACAACCAAGTGGAATTTATTCCTGGAATACAAGGGTGGCTCAACATCCACAAATCAATCAATGTGATACACTACGTTAATAAAACAAAGAACAGGAACCATGTGCTCCTCTCAACTGATGCAGAAAAAGCATTTGACAAAATACAGCATCCTATCTTGATTAAAACTCTCCACAGTTTAGGGATAGAGGAAACATACCTCGATATCATAAAAGCCATACACAAAAAGCTCACAGGGAATATCATTCTCAATGGGGAAAAACCGAGAGCTTTTCCCCTAAGGTCAGGAACATGGCAAGGGTGTT